TCAACTCTAAGAGCATCTAAGGTTCATTTATTCGAGTGGAAAAGGACAGGAGGAATATGTTAGGACTCCATTAGAAGTTGGAAACTAGGTTGATGAGTCACCACCTCATCTCTTCATGGATGGTACATCCACATGTGAATGAATCATGGCTGTTACACTGGGTATTAACACTGTCTGATGTGCATTATCCTGTGTTCTGTTCTTCTGTGGTTGCAAATGCTTCATGGGAATTAATAAACGTTAATAACAGACACTGCAATTTAAAGACTTTTCACTTATTCTTCAATTTAGAATAACAAAAAAGCTTGAAGAAAGACGAGAAGAGAAAAGGAAAGAAGAAGAACAGGTAACACAAAAATAAAAGACTGCTTGCAGTGGTTTTATACCCTTATTTGTATAAACACTTTATTCCTTTTTAAACAAATGTACTTCAATCTTGTCCAAGGCAATTTTGTGGTCCAATTTTTGTGTCTCTGTTCTTTATTCAGAAAGAAATTAAGAAAGAAATCGAACGGAGAAAAACTGGTAAAGAAATGTTGGAGTACAAAAGACGACAGGAGGAAGAGTTGACAAAACGTATGTTAGAGGAAAGGAACAAAGAAAAGGCAGAAGAGAAGGCTGCCAGAGAGCGCATCAGGCAACAGATTGCAATGGTAAAGTGCTCGGTTTGGAAGGTAGATTGCTGCTTCTCTCTCACAAGGGCCAGTGGTGTACTCAAAGATATACCTTCTCATGCAGTGAAACTTGGAAAAATTGTCCGTTTTTGTGTTTGGAATCTTCTGGCCTTGTGTTGTAACAATTTATGCATTTGGAGTTTATGTAGTATTTCCCACGTATAAAATTCTGCTTTCTCATTCGTGGTGAGCTTTTGTATCTGAACAAACCTACCAACTTTCCTGTCATGTGGAGAATCACCATTTATACATAAAAATAATTGCAATTTAAGCATAGCTCTGGAACAGAAGCAGGGAGGGATATTTAATTATGGAACATGCAGAAGAACACTGATCTCCAAATGGTGGTGAGGATTATTCTCTAAGTTTGTGTATATATATGTGTACATATAGAATATAAACTAGTTGTAACAGTTGAAATCCCTCCTCACTGTTAGGGTTTGGCCTGGAACACTTGGAATGGTAACCATTATATATGTGTACATATAGAATATAAACTATTTGTAACAGTTGAAATCCCTCATTGTTAGGGTTTGGCCTTGGAACAGTAACCGTGTAACTTGTCATAAGACTTTTTTTTCCCCTTTATTTTCCCTGGAGTGTTAAACTTGTACGGGAAGATCATCTGTTGACAACTATTTGCATGAAGTGACTCATTGAAAAGTGTCATTTTGGCTCGTGACACAAGGTTGTGGAGTTTGGCAGTGCATAATTCCTTGCAGCACTACTGTCTTTTCTCCTAGTTGAGTGCCGAGTACAGGTCGTAGCTCTCTGTTATAATGAATGTTAACCTACAATTTATGGTAAAAATTAAGGTTTCTGTTTTTGGTCCTTTCACAGGATCGTGCTGAGAGAGCAGCTCGCTTTGCAAAATCGAAGGAAGAAGCAGAAGCTGCAAAAGCAGCAGCTCTTCAGGCCAAACAGGCTGAAATAGAGGCCAGAAAAGAAGCATCTCAAAAAGAGCGAAGGTGAGTTCCTGTTGAGAAAGAAATACATATTTTTGTGTAGAGAGGTAAAGAAACCTCACATAAACTTTTAAGATATTTAATATACATCATAACCTATTAAATGATGCCGTGTTGAACTGTTTAAATAGTGGCATAAAAAGTCTGGTTTCTTTTGTATTACTTATTTGTAGCTTTTTACATGAATATTGTGTTCTCTGATAGCTTTCATCCTTTTGACATTCCTGATTATGGAACACTAACCACCTTTCTTTGTTACTTTAGTTAGATAAAAGCCTTTTCTGTCTAATCTTTGATTTAAATGCCAGGTATATGGGGGCTGGGTGGGGAACTAGATAAGGTGAGAACGTGGTAGATGATAACTAGGCAGAATGACTAGATAATGTCAGAACTGCACCAGGGAGCACGGTGCCGACCCAGCTCTTTGGCTGTGTCTGCAGTTGGCTTGGATTCAGCAAGGCTTGGGTGGGCTCATGCGCTGTCAGTGTCAGAGCCATCTCCTGCTTGGCCCAACACCACTGTCCTGAGACCTTACGTGGAGTGATAGAACCACAGTGACTCTAGTACTGCCCCTCAGAGGGGGCAGGTACAGGAGGATTTGTCTGTGACTGTTCATGTTCTGAGTGACCCCTGTTCGTGTCCTGCAGTGCAATAGCCAGGATTCAGTTCCGCCTCCCAGATGGATCTTCCTTCACTAACCAGTTCCCCTCTGAAGCACGGCTGGAAGAAGCAAGGCAGTTTGCTGCACAGGTAAATCTGTGTTCCCTTCTCTTCACTACGTACTGGTCACAACTGTAGCATCACCTACTTGGTGATCGTGGTGGAATTGTCATCAATGCTTTCCTTCTTGTTTGTTTGAAAGGGGGTTTTGGCAGCAGCCTTTTCCAGTGCCACCAACTGTCTTTGGTATTCCTGCAACATATCATTAAAGTAGTAGGATATGAAAAATCCTTCATTTCTCTATATGAAGACAATTAATAGTTTGATACAGAAGTCTTGGGTCAATACAGCGAGTTATACTCAACTGGCCAATCTGCAGTTGTTTGAAAGTGAACAGTTATAAACATGTTTTCTTTCTGTTTTCCCAGACGGTTGGTAATACTTACGGCAATTTTTCACTGGCGACAATGTTTCCCAGAAGAGAGTTTACCAAAGAAGATTATGGAAAGAAATTACTGGAGCTAGAGTTAGCACCCAGTGCTTCGGTAGTGTTGCTGCCGGTAGGTGTTGGTTTTCTCCTCGTTTCCTTTTCGTTTCCTTGCAAACAGCAGTAATGGCTGGGTGTCTGCTATTAGGCAGCCATGATAATATTTGGCTTTGAATTTTGGTCTTTTCTGAGTCTAAGATGGCAAAATTACTTTAATTCTTGTCAGGAGTGATTTGGAGGAAGGCTTTTTCTGAAGCAGATAAATGGTGGCGTAGATATTTGCCTGACGTGTAACCAAAGGAGTTCTCTTGTGTCTACTGAGCTGCTTCTAAATGTTGGATGAAATACTCTGTCTACAAGAGCCTGACTTTCATATCTGACGGGTTTGCTTTCTGTGTTCATGCCCAGGCGGGAAGACCTGCTACTTCTGTTGTTCAGGCTTCAGGCAGCGACCTGTGGAAGTTCTTGGGCACAATACTTTATCCTCTCTTAGCGGTTTGGAGATTTATTAGCAACTTCCTGTTCACGAGTCCACCCCCCTCCCAGTCACAGTCGACTGTGAGAACACCTCATCAGCAAGACCATTCAAGTCCTTCAGCCTCCAGCAGCTCGGAGCAAAGCAGGTAATCAAAACTCCTAAGGCAGCTGTTTCTCAAACTACTAATGGAATTGTTTTCTTTGTGTAGTGGGGAACTGAACTGTTTCTGGCTCTTAGCTGCTGCCTTCTCTTTGGGCTTTCTGGCCACCACCCTTCCATCTGGTCCAAAGGGACAAACCTGGTGGCTGGCAAACTGCATGGCAGCTCTGACTAGGATTTCTTAGTTCTTACCTCTGTGATTAAGCAAGATCCTTATCGTTTGCTACAATTCCCAGTTACAGAGTAGAAAAAACATTGTCTTGCAGTCATTGATAAATAGGGAGTTTGGCTGTAGCTACAAATGTGGGCTTCACTTGAGCTGATAGTGTTTGGAAGATAAATATTTTGTAAATTAGATGTCAAACTGTTATGGGGGGGGCTGTACAAGAAACTCAAGCAACTGAAGTGTGATTTTGAGAGGTAAGGCTCTGTATTGCCCAGAGAAGGAGAGCTCTGCTGTACCAGGAGAGCCACTAGGCCCCTTCACGGGAAGCAGCCATGGCAGGGCTTCCCAGGGAAATGAGATTCTGTCACTTTGACTGCTAAATGACAGATTCTCAGCTGGGTGTTGCTTCCCAGGGAAACAAAGGGCTGAAGGAAACTATTATTTGGGATATGAGAGGGAAGGATGCATGATTTGCACTTACTTGTGTAATTATTGCTGGGGAAACTGTCAACTGACTGTTGTTTGTCCCCTAGGCAAGCAGTCAGGAAACGAGTCGTGGAAAAGCGGGGGGAAGACTTCAAAAAAGAAGGCAAAATATATAGACTGAGGACTCAAGACGACGGAGAAGACGAAAACAATACTTGGAATGGAAATTCTACACAACAAATGTAGATTTGAGTAACTGCAGTAATCACTTGTTTTTTTTTTTTTTTTTTTTGATCTAAGTCAACTAAAGCTTCTGGACAAGTGGGGCTTATTTTACACTGACTGAATTACTTAATTCTTTTCCTGCAGTGGAGTATGGAATAAGGTCACTGAAGTCAGAAAAATCAAGCGGGTGTAGCTGAGGCCTAGAAGCAAAGAGTTAAAAAGACTGAAAAATCTCCATCAGCTTTCATAATCATTACCCTACTGCCATAGAAAGGCACTTTTTAATCTATAAATATTCTGCTATATAAATATAAGGGCCAGATATTAATATAAAGGTCACGGTAGGCAATGACTGATTAAAATGAGGGTTTCGGAAGCACTATAATTAGCAAATCAGGTAACTAATTTATGTTTAACTTTTTCTTGCTTCTGCAACTGCAAGCAAAACCTTGTAGTTTTTAATTCCCCAAGCACTCAATAAACTATTTTCCAGAAAACATAACACTCCTCTCCTTTAAAGTTCCTCTGAAGTACTTGTGTCCCAGGGAAGCAAGCAGGTAGGAGCACACACTGAAATTTGAAATATAACAGACAAACTGGAGTAAAAAGTTTAACTGAGCTTACTCAGGAGTTGGTCATAAAATCTGAAATAGTGTTTTGAGTCCAGGTGATGCAGGAAGAAAGAAGATGGGTCTTTATCACATAATGTTATGGTGTTGTTAGCAGGGGCTGCTTTTACTTTGGAGGTACGGTCACTCCACCTCCTGTTAGAGACCTGAATGTTACAGGTTCTGTGCTGCTTCGGATTCCTAGTTAAAGGAGATTTAATTAAGTATTGCACTCTGGTCAAACGTGAAGGCAGAGTACTAGGGCCACTTAAAAGGAAAGCTGCAGGGGACACACACAATCTGTACAGTAGCTGCAATAGAACAGTATACATTCTCCTAGCCCAGTATAGACACTGACTTGTCTTAAAAGCTCTAAGAAGCAGCCCTCAGAAAGCCCTACATCATCCAAGGGGAGATGAAAAGAGAACAGGTAAAAAGTCCCAGCTAAGAATCCTTATGCAGATAGAAACACACAATTTTATTTTTGTCTTTAAGAAAACAAATTAATAACACCTGGGGACAAAAGAGACCATTACCATAGCAAAAAAATTTCTTTTGTATTTTAAACTTGGTAAGCAAACAACAAGATGATGAGGAGCCATCTCTGAGGCAAGACACAGTTGCAGTAGTACAAGCAGGTTTCTTTTCCTAGTGCTGTAGGCTTTTTTGATAAAAAACAAACCAAACAGACACTAGCAAGTGAAAATTTTACAGTTTATGAAGTTCCATGTGTTTTCGTTTACGGGATCTTTTGGATAATTTTCCATACTTATATGCAAGAAGAGCCAAGACCAACACCACAACCACACAAAGAGCAAATTGCACGTACAGCCCTGTTTCTGCACTATGTGATGTTAACTCCAGTCCCAAAAAGTGCACGCTCTCAGCCGGGGCTGGGGCCGTGTCTGTTGGTGCCACTGTCCCTGGGAAGACAATAAGGAAGCATTAGGACACGGGCTGGGGCCAGCTCTGTCACAGGTGAGTGGTGGGCATTGCTGCTTCCTGCCTCTACAAGGCTTCCAAGGTCACAACACATTGGAGCTGCTCTGGTACTTGGAATTCTTTGGGATCAGGGATTGACACAGCCCCAGCTTGGAGTAAAAGCACAACTGAGGCTCATAGTGAGACTCAGGAGCAGTGAGTGGTCTCTAGCAGCCCAAAAAGCTGATAAAAACAATTATTTAAGAGCCCCACCCCAACAATGGTGGCTGTTCAAATGGACTTCTCTAGTTCAGAGAACATAAATGACAAGAGAATTAATATTTCCGAAGGCTTACCCCAAACACAGATTCATATAAAGTTTTAAAAACTGTTTAGAAAGTGTGATGTGGTAAGGCTCAATGTGTGTGCTTTGGAAGATATCTTGGGCAGTTCTGTTAATCAGAGAAAAGTAGAACAGAATAACTTTTTTGCTGCTTTTTGGAGACAGGCATATATCAAGGTGCTATGGCTCAAAATTCAGTTGTTCAGGTTTTGATGGAGGAGAGACCACTCCACATGAATGTCTTCAATCTGAACAAAGGCTGATGATTAGTCAGTGCTCTACTGGAGCCTGTATAAATGGTGGTGTCCTTAAAGGCTACAGATGATGGAAATGTTTTGGGATTAGAACCTGATAGACACAGAAGCAGGATTTCTGCCGCATGGCTTACCTTCAGGCTCCGGTTCCAGACAGGGATGTGAGCCCGTTGCTGGGTCTGGAAACCCATTGCAGTTGATGATCTGTGAGTAGAACCTGGCGGAGGCCTTGGGGCGCCGCGGCAAGTTGGGGTCTGTGAAGTTCACGTGGTAGAACCCGAACCTTTCATCAAAGCCCACTGCCCACTCGAAGTTGTCCATCAGCGTCCACGCGGTGTAGCCTCGCAAGTCGACACCATCCAGCACAACGGCTGTTGGCAGGACCAGAGGGAAGAGGTTAGTTTGCAGCCCAGTGACAAGGAGGTGTCACCACCGGGCCAGCAGTGGCAGGGAGATACCCCAGGACACTGAGGTTATTGCCACTTCAGCCTCATGGCTTTCACCACCTCTCCCTTCCCACCTCTCCTGTCTTGCCTTAGCTCAGGTGCTTTGAGGTAGTTACAGCCAATGACAGCCAGCCAGGACTGGAGAGAGCTTTTCTCTGCCCCCAAAATCAAAGTTTTCATCCAATAAAAGCTTTAGGAACAGAGAAGAAAAGCCATCAATATGCAACTGTTCCTTAAACAAGGGCTCGTTGGACCTCGTTACTGAAAGGCAGTAAACGGGCACTTCTGGAACAGCTGGCCAGCAGCTCCCAGTACCTCAGAGAAGCAAACTGGAAAAGCCCTTCCCCAATGTTGCTTGACTGTTGCTGTGTTTTTTAAAAAAGATGGAGTTTTTAGACACAGCAGCAGTCAAACTAGAAGTCAAACTAGCTCTTCATCAAGCAGTAGCACCTTCTCCTGCCAGATGCAGCTGTACAGGACACTGCAGTTGCCCTGCCAAACCCAAGGCTTTGTTCTTCCTTCAGATGACCTTTCCCTGCAGAGTGGTGGCTACCCATGGGCAGTCTCTGCCAGCCCCAAAGGCTCGCAGAAATTGACACAGAGCAAAAAAAACCACTAAGTGTGTAATTTGCAAGTGTGAGGGCAGATGAGATTTAAATAATCATTCCTACCTTTCAGCGCTTCGTTAATGTAGCTCCGATGGTAATGCGTGCGCCAAGTGTCGTTGAAGTTGAAGGCTCCCCTTTCCGAGATCCCGTTTTCAGTCACGTAAATGGGGGGGTCATTGTACTCTTCCTTTATCCATCTCAGGAGCTTTCGGAAGCCAAAGGGTGTCACCTTTAGCCAGGCAGAACCCGAGTTGAGCCAGCTGCGGTCGCTCACTGAGGCTACACCCCTGAGGAGGAGGAGGAGGAGGACACGTCGGTCAAGGGACCCATCCCAAGTGCCTGGCACCTCATTGTCACGGGGCTGGGAAACATGGTGTCCAGCCCTGGAGGAAACTGAACCAGAGGTGATGTTGTGGCACAGACTGAGCCCAGTGTCCTTCTTCTACAGGGCTGAACCGGAGGGGCTGGGATGCAGCAGCAAAGAGAGGTTATAATAATTTTATGTATTCTCTGTGGAAACGTTTCAGAAAACGGCCAACGTTCACCTCCACATGTGGTCCCACCATTACCATAATGCTCATGAGAAAGAGCAGTAAGCTCCTGCTGTTTGCCTTTTAAAGATAAAAATCTTGACTTCTGTGTACTTAACCATGAAGGGATTTAGCTATTTGGGCTTTGAACTTACATCTACCTGCTGTGGTGAGGGAGCAAACAACTGTAACAGAAAATGGAGCAGCGTCCATAAACCAGGATAACCTGGTAGTTCAAAGTGCAGAGCGGGGGCAGGAAATACACTAAATATTGCTGACAGGTGATCCCAAACCATTGGGACACACACAAGTGCAGATTCCTTCCTTTAGTACATCCTCTAATTTTCTTTGTTCTGTTTTAAATATTCACCTTTATCATCAGCTCTGTGAAAAAAAAGGGCTGTTCCTGGACTTTTACGAAATTAACAGCATTACAGCAGCTACTATTTGGGTACATTTCCCTATTACTGATTATAACAACAGCTTAAACTATTTGTCTCATGGCTTTATTGGCTCACAGTTTACATGGCTGGGTTGGCCCAGGCTCCAGGAGCACGTATTTCACTTGAGCCATAACGTAGATTCATCTCTTACCTGTCAGAGTCATAGGACATCACGCCAGCAGGGTAGTTCAAGTTGTATGCTAGAACTGTGGTGTAGTGATTTAGCCCAAAGTAGTCGTACGTGCCTTTAATTCTTTGCTTTTCACTTTCAGTAAATTCTGGAAGGCTGCAACAGAAAACAGGGAAAAGCATAAACCCCTCAAAATGTAAGTCTTTTCAGGATTCCCCCTTCTTCTGCTCCCTAGTCAGGGTGTATAAACTCAACTAAGCTTTTGCCAGAGTATGCGATTTGTGCTGCCTGGTCTAATGGTCTCCAAGAGAGAACCAGACCTTCCCCTGACCAGGAAAGAGACACCTGATGGCTGGAGGCCCTGCTCATGGTCAGATGAGAAGTTAGTGGCAGAAGCAGCACCTCACTGGCTCCTGGGGCCACCAACCATTAAGTAGCGCTTGTTCTGGAGCAGAAAACAGAAGTAGAGACACGGGTGTTATTTTTTCTGTGTGTTTTGTCGTGCTGTGCTCGAGCTCAAAAGCACTTCTCATCAGAGAAATCAAAAACTCTTCTGCTCTATGAGCATCTATAAAAGTGACACATGACCTTCTTGCCCTCAGACACGGGTTTCTTCCCAACTGTGGGATCCCAAAGGGTTAAATTTGGACAGGGTCTGCCTTCACTGCTGCAGTTTGCTGAAGATAACATTGAGGTGTCTAAAAGCTCAAGGGAAAGGGGAAGGAAGATAACTAACAGACGTAAAAATGGAAAATACAGCTTAACAACCTCAAACTACACCAAGCAACCCCTTTTTCTTCAAGTGCTGGTTTGTAACTGTGTTCAGGTGGGGCAAGAGGCCTTGAAGCCAGGATGTCAAGTGGCTTTGAGTGTGCACCAGGACAGTGCTGGTGAGAAACATTGGGTGCAAACAAGCTGTAGAACAGGAAAAAAGAAAATCAAAGAAGGTGAACGTGAGGCACTTCTGGAAGGGTGACTCTGGGACCTGCTCTGCTCTTCTCTGTGTGGCAGCAGAAGTACCTGTACCAGCAGAGGATGATGCAGTGTTGTCTCAAACTCTGGCTTCTACACAGGAAACAATAAAAGCTTCTGAGCTTTCTCCTTGCGATCCATCCTTTGAACACACACTGTGTGTAATGTTGTTATCCCTGTACCAGCACCACAAGCACAAGGGGAGGTACCATGATCCTTCTGGAGGAACATGGAGAAACCCAGGAGAAACTGGGAACTCGGCTCTGTGCATGGACTCTACCATTTAATCCCAAAGAGCTTAGTTCCCTTCAAAAGGGAGGCCTCCTCAGAGAAGAACATCCCCTTTGGTATCTGCAGGCCTACAGAGTCAGGGACATCTAGGGTACCCTGGAGCAAGGAGCGAGGTTTCAGCTCTCTTTTAGCCAGAAGGAGGAGAAAATCCTGCAAATTAGGTCCTCCAGGCAGCCCCTGCTGAAAATGCAGCCAGTGCTCCTGGTGATTTGACTGAGAGTTTGCAGCCTTAGATTGAGGACAGGACATCTTCCCCAGACTGAGATGCTTGGGCACGTTATCTCATAAAGCAACACACAGTGACTTTGCTGCCTTATTAATGGCAGCAACTGCCAGAGAAGAAATAAGGTAGCCAAGAAATAAGGTAGCCAAGAAATAAGGTAGCCAAGAAATAAGGTAGCCAAAAAGTGCCTGAGAACCCACAGGTTCTAGGCACATATAAAAGTATAACTTGAATCTTGAAGAATCTTTGCAGCAGAGCATACACCGACTCGTCTACCATCTATCTCCCTCATTTCAAAAACAAGTGGTCTTTCACATTTTCAGAGAGGAATGATCAGGACTCGCCCCAGATCTAATCTACCCCATTAAATTGCTATTAAAGCCAAGAGGGAAAAAGGGCTTCCCTTATATGTGCCTAGAAAGGGAGAGAAAAGGAAAAACATTGATGATGGAGCACTGCTACCACAATAACGTTAAGAAAATTAATGGGAGTGGAAAATAAGAAACATAATTCCGAGGGACTGATGAGTTCTCAATGTTTGGGTTCAGTACAGAGTTTTAAGAGAAGTTAGTTAGAACACATTTATCGTGGTCATCAGGGAAAGCACTATGTCTAATGCAGAGCTTATACTGTGTCACCCTGAGCTGCCAACTTACTGCCCCAAAGATATGTTATATCAGTACGTTTAGTTTGCAAGAGAGGGAAAGAGAGGGAACAGGCAAAATGCACACTAGAGTTTTTCTGTGGGAATACAGTAAGATTTTTACAGTAAGATTGCAATGGAATCGGTGAAATTTAGCGCTTCTATCAGAAAAAGGTTTCAGCAGGGCAAGCAGAACAAAATCAGGCATGTGCCTGGGCTCTTACCGGGACTTCTTGAGACCCTGAGCCAGACTGCGTTCCCGAATCCTCTTCTTCATCACTTCATTATAATCCCCATTTTTGAAAATGGGATGAGCAAACCAACCTAGGAGAAACTAAGGCAGGAAATAAGGGAGAAGGATAAATTATGTATCAAAACAAGAGATTTAACCATTTCTCCTTCACGTGCTGCTTTACGGGTAGTACCTCAATTCATAATGAGGAGGCACATGGCAATACCCAGGGCTGCCCGTATGATGGCAGTAATTTTGTCACTGCAACCCTATTTTGCCTGATTTCTGTTGCATGTTTCATCAGCCACCAGAAGAGGGTGATACATTTCCTTGCAGTGATACCTCGGGCTCATAATTTTCTTTCAGTGAGATGCTGACCTGAGTTCTGGGTATCTCCAGCACCCAGAGAAAGGGGGGGTGCCACCACGAACAAACCCAGGAGCAGCAGGGAGAGCTGGGACAGGGTGTCTCTGTACCTGCAAGTACCGTCTGGCGGCTTCGACGTCCTCCTGGTTGTGTGGGTTCCTTGGTTCTGCCCAGTCAGAGTTGATGGTGATGGAGATTAACCCTCCTTGCTTTGCCCGGAAGGTCTCATTGTAGAGGTGCCAGGCTTCCGCGTGGGCCTTTATTAAGTTGTGCCCCACCACGTAGGGGGCTCGTCCTGGCCGAACGGAGACTCCTGCAGAGACAGTGACAGCACAGGCAGTGGAGCAGCACTTCCCAGCTTTGTCTCTCTCGTTGGCTGCTTCCCAGTTAGCACAACACCCAGGACACCCAGAACTGCCCACCAGTAAATGAATAAACGTGCAGCACCTGGTGCCCTCAGGCCCAGCTGAGGTCCCTGCTTCATCAGGGACACCTGAAGGTGCAGCTGCAGGGGTCAGGCTGTGCAGGACCCCACTCTGCACCGTCCTCCCCCACGGTGGGACACGGGCTGGTGGACAGAGAGGAGAAAGCTGCGTGTTCAGACCAGCTCCCACCCCTCCCTTTCCTCTCCTTCTGCCCTCCTCCAGCCCTAACCCTTCTCCACAGTCCCTGGAGCTGGCCTGGAAAGGGGGTCTGCTCCAGACAGCAAGTGTAATCCGGAGGTGGCAGAAGAGGGATGGATTGGAGGAGTGGAAGGAGGAGAATGGGTTTTGGAGGGGGCAAAGTGAAAGAAAGACCTGTTCACCACAC